CTATAAAAAATTTTAGAAACATCACCTCTACTACAGCGGGAGCTTGTTGGGGTCTAACTGCAAGGTCAATAATTAGAAACCACCAGGCGTTGTACGGGAAAAAGATGAGGCTTTCTAGCCTCGTAAACATTTCCAGTCCTGGCGACCCACAGGGGCAGTTCTAGTCTGTCTGATAGGGTCTCTATGAGTCAGAGTTTACTCACTCGCAGCCTGAGTGCACTAGAACTGCTCTTTCATTCTCCCTGGCATTCCCTTGTTGTTGTTAGCTGCAGTCAAGTGGATTACCTTCTATGCACAACAGAACAGAACACTGCCTTGACCTGCAGCATCCTCACAACTGTTTTCATGTTTGAGGCCATGGCTGCAGCCGCTGTGTCAGTACATCTCACCGAGGATCTGCCTCTTTTTGTGCTGCCCCTCAACTTCACCAAGCATGAGATCTTTCTCTAGGGACTGGTCTTTCCTGATAAATGGACAAAGTATGTGAGATGAGGTCTCACCATCCTTGCTTCAAGGGAACATTCTGGTTGTACTTCTACTAAGACAGATTTGTTCTTTGCAGTCCATGGTACTTCTAGTATTCTTTGCCAATACCATATTTCAAATGCATCAATTTTTCTTCATTCTTCCTGATTCCGTATCCAATTTTCAAGTGTAAAGAGATGATTGAAAACACCATGGCTTGAGTCAGGCATATTTTAGTCTTCAAAGTAAAGTTTCAGATGTCTCCTACAACAGATTTTCCCAACATAATACATCACTTCATTTCTTGACTGCTGCTTCCATAAGCACCAATGGTTGACCCAAGCAAGATGAAATCCTTGAAAACTTCTATCTTTGTTCTCCATTGACCATGATGCTCTCTATTGGTCTTGTAACACCTACCATGTACTTCCCTCACTACTTACTATTCATTCACTCAAATATTGATATTCATTCAGACACTTGCTAAGTACTTACTGAACTACTGTACTAGTTCTGAATACATGAATTATATTCTAATAGGAAATAGAGACATTGATCATAACACACTATTTAAATTAGAACATTTTACTTACTGAGACCCTACTATGTGGCAACGGTTATTCCTACACACCATTATCTTACTTAGGTCCTCCCAACAGCCTTAAAATATGGGTATGATTACTGCCTGCAAAGCAGAACTACGGTTCCAAATGGCGAATTGTTTTTCCAAGCTCACACTGCTGTTACATTGCAGAAGTGAAGTTCCATAGAAACTTTCTTTTCTACCACTTAGTGAATCTACATCAACTCCTAAACAGCCTCTCCAATTGCAGTTATTGTACTTGGAACTCATGCTAAAAAGGCAATGTAGTGATGATTCCAGACTGACTTTGAGAACTGAATCTTGTCTCTTTCTCTTACTAAATCTGAATCTTGTAAATCTCTTAATCCCTCTAAATTTCAGTTTCTTACCTTTGAAATGAGAGTGACAGAGTTGTGCATTAAATGAGAGAATATCCAAATGACTAAGTATATATGAGAGAGAAATGAAAGCAGGGGCTCAAAGAAATTGTACACAAATGTTCCTAGCAGTGTTATTTACAATAGCCAAAGAGTAGAAACAACCCAAATGTCAATCACGAGATAAATAGATGAACAAATTGTGGTACATGCATACAAATGAGCCATGTAATAAAGTTTTAATATATGCCTAAACATGAATGAACCCTGAAAACATTAAATAAAAATAGCCAAACACAAGAGAACAAATACTATATGAATCTACTCATTATGTGAAACATCTGGATAAGAAAATTTATAGATATAAAAGTAGACTAGAGGCTAAAGAGGATGGCAAGAAGGGAGAAAGGTGAGTGAGTACAGAGTTTCTGCATGGGAAGATAAAAAAGTTTTGGAAACTAAATTATAAACTTTAAAATTAAAATAAGATTTTTTAAATAAGTATTTAAAGTAGTTGGAGAATAGTAGAACACCAATCTTAAGATTTTCCAACCCTCAACCACCCCTGCTGGACTAGAAGAACTTAGGTACCTGTTGCTCTCTTGAATGCCTCATGTCATGGAACATACCCAACAAACTGTCTGTTTACCTGTACAGATTCCCCCACCAGATTATGCATATGGCAATTATCAGACCCCACACCCACTGCCATCAAGTCAGCTCCAACTCACTCAACAAATACTTGTTGAAGGAATGGATGGATGAATGAATGAAATGAGGCCCAACATAAGTGTGATGGATTGTCAAAGAAAAGACATAGGATAAACTCTCTCCCGCTCTAGATCATAATTACCGAGGATAGGAACAACCTTTTTACAGCGTTGAATATACTTTCATGTTTGCAGATGTTCCATTAAAAATAAGTAAAACTGGGTCACAGGTGCCAAATTCATGTTGAAAAGCAGATAAATATGCCTGTTTGCCATAAAAAATTATGCCAGCAATTTCCAGCTCCAATATTATATTTATGACAGGCTGCTACTAGCAACATTAACATTATCTGGGAACTTCTAGAAATATAGATCCACAGGTACAGCCTAGCCATACTGAATCAGAATCCCTGTTTTAATATGAACCCCTAATGATTACTAACACATCAGAGCACTGGTTTATATGACAGAAATGAAACTGGCACCTATAATCTCAAAGGTCAACATCTCCTACTGTATTAACTATGTAGTGAATAATCAAACATCAGTAGTACTAGGTACTAGTAGTACTGTAGTACTAGGTAGCTACAGCCATGGCACACTTTCAGGTACACTGGGGTGCAAATCCCAATTACTAATTCAATGGAATGAAACCTTTAAGAAATGCTCAAAGGATTATGATCTTTGCATTCTTTTTTTTTAAATCATTTTATTGGGGCTCATACAACTCTTATCACAATCCATACATACATCCATTGTGCCAAGCACATTTGTACATTTGTTGCCACCATTCTCAAAACATTTTCTTTCTATTTGAGCCCCTATCAGCTCATTTTTTCCACTCCCTCCCCCACTCTTCCTCCCTCACAAACCCTTGAGAATTTATAAATTATTATTTTTTCATGTCTTACACTGTCCAATGTCTCCCTTCACCCACTTTTCTGTTGTCTGTCCCCCTGGGAGGGGGTTATATGTATATTATTGTGATCGGTCCCCCCTTTCTCCCCCACCTTCCCCTTACCCTCCTGGTATCACTACTCTCGTTGTTTGTCCTAAGGGGTTTATCTGTCCTGGATTTATTGTGTTTCCAGCTCTTATCTGTACATGCTCTGGTCTAGCCAAATTTGTAAGGTAGAATTGGGATCAAAATAGTGGGGCGGGGGAGGCGGACATTAAAGAACTAGAGGAAAGTTGTATGTTTCATCGTTGCTACCCTGCACCCTGACTGTCTGATCTCCTCCCGGCGACCCTTCTGTAAGGGGCTGTCCAGTTGCCTACAAATGGGCTTTGGGTGTCCACTCCGCACTCCCCCTCATTCACATTGATATGATTTTTTGTTCTTTGATGCCTGGTACCTGGTCCTATTGACACTCCATGATCACACAGGCTGGTGTGCTTCTTCCAGGTAGGCTTTGTTGCTTCTCAGCTAGATGGCCGCTTTATCTTCAAACCTTTAAGACCCCAGACATTGTATCTTTTGATAGCCAGGCATCATCGGCTTTCTTCACCACATTTGCTTATGCCCCTGCTTTGTCTTCAGCGATCATGTCAGGAAGGTGACATGGAATGCCAGTTTAACAGAACAAAATGTTCTTGCATTGAGGGAGTACTTGAGTAGAGGCCCACTATCCATCTGCTACCTTAATACTAAACCTATAAATATATGAACATAGATCTATTTCCTCATCATCACATATAAATATATTTACATATGTACCTGCCAGTAATGTAGACCTCTATAGATGCCCTTTGCCTCCTAGTTCGTTCCTCTATTTCCTTTTACTTTCCTCTTGTCCCACTATCATGCTCAGCCTTCATTTGGGTTTCAGTAATTCCTCTCAGTTCAACTGCCCTTGGTCAAGCCCTACCAGGCCTCCTACTCCCTCCTCGCCATAGATTTTGGATCACTTGTTCCCTTGTCCCTGGGTTTAACAGCTACTTCCTTTCTCCTGCCTCCTCCTCTCCCATGTCACCCCGGAACCTTGGGTCCCATTGTTTTTCTCCTCCAGATTGTTTATCCTGCCTCTCTTATCTAGATAGACCTACAGAGATAATATGATACACACAAAAAAACAAGACAGCGCAAGATCTTTACACTCTTATGACACACATTAAGGCAGAGTGAAGGAGAAATAGACTCCAGTACCCAAGGCAATAAATGTTTTAGGTCGGTGCAGAGGAACTGCTAAAAAGATAGGAACATTTAAGAGCAAGCTTCTTTGAGAGTTTCAGTGTTACATACTGTCCCAAGTATTCTCTATTAGAGTATAGACTTAAACTGTATTAACCTATGTAAAGAAAGAACCTGAAATCAAACCTCTAAATCACCTTCATTGACTCAAAGGCTGAAACGAGCTTTAAATCCCCAGCAAAATCTCAAGCAAGTATCTATTTTGCAAACTTGCAAAATCACTCTCAAAGCCCTCACTAGAGGACCGTCATCCAAAACTGAGACCACATCCGAGGTCACAGGGCTTCAGGGATTACTGTCAGTTTTGCCCTTTAAAAGGAAAAAAGAAAAAAAAAAACCGGAGAGGATGGGGGTGTGTGTTTCTGATGAGGAAAAGTTGCAGGCCATTATTATCGCCTGGCTGGCCTACAAAGCAACTCTCCATCACAAGACAGGGAAAAGGGAATTTAACTCAGGTCCCTGGATTCCCATTTTTTAATGTCCTGAACTTAATCCTAAAGTTGGGAGCCCAATCTCTTTCCAGCAACAGGCATTTGGATGACAGGTCAAACTTCTAATTCCCCTCCCCTTACCCTCATGAAGCGCGTCCCCAGGGCCCCTCGGGAGCCCCTACAGTACCGCCCGGTCCACCCTCCAAACAAAACTTGCCCAGGGTGAGGCTGAAGGGGTCTCACCAAGTACAGAGGGGCATAGATCTTCAGGGACTCCTCCAGGGCGCCCCCAGTGATTTGCAGGAAGGAGACCCCGCAGGAAGGGTGCCAAGTGTGGCCGATCTCGTAGCAGTTATGAGGGATGGACTTGCTGAGAGCCGCCATGACGAGGAACCGCGGAGGGGCAAGGAGGGGGAGAGCTGCGTGTGGGGAGGAATGAAGGGAGGAGAGCGAGCGCCCCAACCGCCGCGCGCTCTCCCCGCCGCCCGCGGGAGGTGCGGAATGGAAGGGAAAGGTCACGCGAGAGGGGTTACTCTGGGCCAAAGTCCTCGGATGTTGAGCGTTCGACGTATCGCCGCTCAAGGGGGCGGGACGCGCACCGGGGAGGCGGGAAGAGGCGGAGCGTGCGCGCTCCCTCAAACTAGCCTCCGCCGGGGGCGGGCTCCCGCGGCCTCGGCGTGCGCCCGCACGCGCACGCGCACGCCTCAGAACTCGCCGCGTCTAGGGAAACGGAGCGTTGGAGAACCTTAGTCCCAGTACGCGCCTCGGGGCTGAGAGCTCGCAAGCGCCGGCCAGCCACCTCCCGCACAGTGAATTGTGCGTGCTTTGGCGGGTGCCCGCTGCTAGATGATTTTAAGTCATCTTACAATGATGTCGGGAGGAACCCTGGTGGCGCAATAGTTAAAGCACTTGGCTGGGAACCCGAAATTGGGCTCCAGTCTTTCGGCAGAGAAAGATGTACAGACTTGGAAACCCAAGACTCAGAATCCATTCCACTGTATGGTGGCGAATTTGGGTTTGGTTTGGTTTGGGGTTTGGATTAGTCTCTGCCCTCTCAAAGCCTGGCCAAGTAGGGCTGAGGGTAGTTGGAAGAAAGGGATTAAATAAACCAGCGGAGGAAGAGGTTTGCCAGAGGGCAGCTGGGACAAACGTCCTCCCTCGCCGCCCCTCCTTAGAGGGCCAAGCAATCACAGGCTGCTTGCTGGTTGAAACTGACCTGCTCCCAGTTACAGGTCTTCCTGAAACGGGTGGTGCCTGGGAAGTCTTGCCAGATCTCAGCCGTGTTCGACTATAGGTTACCCCTAGTCAAACATGGAGCCACGGAGCAATTTTGTGACAGCAGCTGAGTCAGGTGCTCATTATTCAAATAGTAAGCATAGGAGAGACAGGGGTGCGGTGTGAGAATACAAACCCAGAGAATGGCTAGAGACTCCCACCCCAACAATTGGCGTAAAGTGGAAGGCATTCATAAATCCTTAGGAAAAGACGGCTTTAGGGGAAAAAGAAAAATTGCAAGTGGAGCTTTGCTCACACCCAATCAATTCACAGGTGTACATTTGTTTTTATGGTTTTATAGAGTGGTGGTGGTAGTGGTGGAGGTGGAGGTGGTGGTGTGTGCCTTAAAGATAATGGCAAACACTGTATCTCCATAGGCTGTTCTTTCTAGTTATGACCAGTGACTCAACTGGATATGCTCTTGGGCCTTCATGTTGCTTCATTTAAAAAGAAAACCTTTAAGAGTTCACCAGCCAGGTAAAGCAAAGGATTTCTTCTTTCTCCATAGAAGATGAAGAGTTAATGAAGGAACCATTCGAGGAATTCATACAATGGCCTCTGAAGATGGTTAAAAACAAGCTGAAGATTGCTGCTCTTGTCTGATTTTGAAAATGCCTACTAAAAAGAAGGGAAGAGGATTTAACAAAACTAGGCTTGTTCAGGTCTACATACAATTGTGGTCGAAATGCATATGTGGAAAGTGCACAATGCCCAGTATGGCTCACACTACATATAACACTATGGTAATGCTTAAGGCCAGCATCAGTCAAGACAAACATTCCCTTTGTTGACACTAGGCAAGATTTTCAAACAGCAATATGTGGTTCCAATTTTCTATCCACTTTTACTGCAACATAATTGTAGATGTTTCCACACATCATTTTGTTTAAGGTAATTTGTTTTGAGAATGTAAATATAAAATTTTTCCATACAAATATTGAAAAATGCTTTTTCAGTGATACATAGGCTCTTTCTTTCATCCAAGTAAGCAGTGCCTCCACCAATATACTTTTTCTTTTAAAAGAAGCTCCTTATGTATCAAATTATAATCCACTCCCAGAAAAGACATCCACAAATCTTTGAGACAAACATTTCCCATTTTAGGCTGAGAGGGAACTGTTGGAAAATGTCCTTTACTAAAAAGCTCCTCTGTATAGCTGGGAGGGCCTACAGAGAATAGCCAGATCTTTCTATATCTATTAAGAGAGTTTCCTACTTTGAGAATCTTTTAGAATCTGGAGAGACAAAAATAAGCCACATTTATATTTTAGTCTGTGGTAGTTACATAATCGGTGGTCAGTTTGAGACTTAGAGTGAAGGGATGGAGTTTAGTCTGTCAATCAGGTAGCAGCTTGATGACCTCATTTGGAGGCAGTAGAGAGATAGATAGCTCACTGGCAGTGAGAAACATGCTGACTCCCTGCGAGACATTCCTGCGAACTAGACACATGGTGCTACACTAGAGCCCTGGAGCTGGAGGAGCCATGTGGGGACCCCTGACAGCACTGAGCTGCTTCCACTGCCACTGGATTCACACGACTTTCCACCCACTGACCTATGATCTTCCTGCATTCGATGTCATTGTATGTGTTGCATGAGTCTGAAGAGAAATTTATAGATTGGTATCAGACATATGGGCTAATATCAGACTTATAGACTTGATCTGGACTGGGCTGGGATATTTTCTCAATATTAAACTGCACTGGTATATAAAGCTCTTTCTTATACACATATGAGTATCTATGAATTTGCTTCTCTAGTCAACCCAGAGTAACACATAGTCCAAAACTCCCAATATTTTATATTTCCTCTAAATTTGATTTACAATTGAATTATTCCTTTTTAGTTTATCAGTCTCCCACTGTCACACACAGCTTTCTCTCAACTACTAACCAAAAGATTGGAGGTTCAAATCCATCCAGCAGCACCACTGAAGAGAGGCTTGCTAGTGTACTCCCTTAGTTTTTTAAAATCCTCTTCTTCGCCATCTTCCCAGGTCTTCTGCTGCTGCAGCCATGAAAGTCAAGCTGTGTGGCTTTAGCGGGTACAAGAATTACCCCGGGCACGGGCAGCGCTACGCCAGGACCAATGGAAAGGTTTTCCAGTTTCTTAATACAAAATGCGAATCGGCATTCCTTTCCTAGAGGAGCCCTCAGCGGATAAACTGGACTGTTCTCTACAGGAGGAAGCACAAGAAGGGGCAATTGGAAGAAATTCAAAAGAAAAGAACCCGCCGTGCAGTCAAATTTCAGAGGGCCATCCCTGGGGCATCTCTTGCTGATATAATGGCCAAGAGGAATCAGAAACCTGAAGTTAGAAAGGCCCAACGAGAACAGATTATCGGGGCTGCCAAGGAAGTAAAAAAGGCAGCAATGGCCACTACTAAGGCCCCCACAAATGCAGCACCTGAAAAAACGATCGTGAAGCCTGTGAAAGTGTCCGCTCCCCGGGTTGGTGGAAAACGCAGAGTTGGCAGACGAGACTTTCTAATAAAGATGCGACTATAAAAAAAGAAAAAGAAAATCCTGCAGCAGTGAGAGAGAAGCAAGCAGGCACAAGTAAAGAATCCCCAATAAAATTAAGTACCTATTTTTCCTTTAAAACATTGGAGGCTAGAAGACAATGCAATGGTATATTTAAAGTGCTAAAAGGAAAAATTGAAAAACTGTCAACCAAGAATACTGTACCCAATGAAACCATCCTTCAAAAGTAAGGCTAAATCTAAAACATTTACAGAGAAACAAGCTAGGCAAGTACAAATCCACCAGATCAGCCATACAAAACATATTAATGGGAGTTCAGTTGATGGAAGAGAAAGACACTAGAAAGTAACTCAAGATGATATATAAAAGGAAAGATCCTTAATAAAATGTAATGTATGGACAGGTTTAAGAGCTATTAATAACAATCCTGATATGAAGTGATCACTGAAGATATGGGTGCATTAGCAGAGGGTGGTGAAGAAATTAGATGGATGGTATCTGGGATCTTAAGGACTTGTTCTCAAACAAGCAGTTATCTAAGTGAGGTAACAAATAAGTCCACATGGAAGAAGCGCACCAGCCTGTGTAATTCAAGGATTGTAAATAATAAACTCCAAATCTACAGAAGGGAATGGTATAAGACCTTAAATTGTGAATACCTGGTTTGCAGAAGGCTATAGATGGTAGTGAAAGCCCAAAATTCATTTTCGGGGTCCCCACAAAGATTAAGCCTCCAGTGAATTCCATGAAATTATAATTAAGGGATGTGAATAACCCTGCTATTGGACAGCATTGTAAAGTCAAATATGGCGGGCATCCTAGGGTCAAAATGGAATATCTTATCATTTGATCTCCCTTTTGACCCATTTTAAAGCTGTTTCAGATTTTGGGGGTGGGGTTTGTTTTCAATTCAGGGGAAATACACATGGGTTAAGCCTGTAGTGAATGCCCACTGACCATGGACCAAGGCTGCGAATATCTTTACTATCATGCAGGATGGGTTGGAAAGTGTGCTGTTGCACATGCAGTTGGGGTAAACTTTAACACCGTATCATTTGATCTCCCTTATTTTCCATTTAAATTTGCTCTAATGTTTTTAATATTTTCTACTTTCCTTTTGATTGAGGTTTTTATCTGTTTCACTTTGTCTTTTTTTTTTTTAATGTTTTTCTGTATATCAAATCCAGGATAAGGAAATCTATAGAAACAGCAACTGTAACAATAGTTCCTTAGGGGCAGGTCAGGGGAGGTTGGGAGAAAATGGGAGCAAAAATGACGAGTACAAGAAAGAAGAAAATGTTCTAACACTGATTGTGGTGATGATTGATTATACAACTCTCTTTGATGTCATTGAACTATTGAATTTGTGAGAAGTGAATTATATGGCAATAAAGCTGCTAAAATAATGCATGAAGGAAAAGTCTAAATATTTTGTCATATATATATATGATTTTTACTTTAAAGCAGTGGTTCTCAACCTTCCTAATGCTGCAACTCTTTAACACAGTTCTTTATGTTGTGGTAACCCCCAACCATAAAATTATTTTCGTTGCTACTTCACAACTGTAATTTTGCTATTGTTATTAATTGGACAACCCCTGTGAAAGGGTCATTAGGCCCCCAAAGGGGTCGCAACCCACAGATTGAGAACCACTGTTTCAAAAAAGGCAAGTATGTGAGAAGAGAGGCTGAGGATCCAGAAAAATATAGAAAAAACATGAAATATTAAAAAATTTTCAGGTGTAGTTCCTTTAAATTGAAAGTGATATTTAAA